ATTCGTCTTAAAAATTAAACCCAAATCCATGGCGTCTGTCCTTTCTGTGAGTACACATGGAAACGTTGACGTGAAGAGGCATGTTCCGTAAAATACCAGGCGTTCCATGCCATTATTGATATCTTCCAGGCTCGGTTTGGAACCTTTGTAACCGAACCTCTCCAAGGAACTGGTTAGGGATTCGTGGTAGAGTTCGATCAAACTATTTAGGTTTTGATGACGTACGCTTGGGTTGACACTTGAGTACAGGAAATAGGTGACGTCCATGCACGGGGAGTTGTAATGAGGAACTTGAAAGTCTACAAACCTGAAAAAAATTAATTATTAATTATTCGTAGAACCAATATACTTTAAAGGAACGATTTACTTATTAACTGCAGTGAAATTTCTAAGATAGTAAATCAGAAATAGAACGTTAGTAAGTGATTTCATTGTAGTGAATCCAGAGAGCTACTTTAAAGAGTGATCGAAAAACCTCTCTAGTGAGTCAGGAAAAGAGATAGGTAGAAGAATTGAAAATCTTATGGAAGAGTCGATTACTCTAAAAGAATCATACTAACGATCGCTTTAAACGGAATCGTTCGATTTACTGAGAATTGGTTCTGATCACTTGGGATTGGCAAATTTTCAACTGCTGAGGATCGAATAAGTGGGAGTGAGGTTTCGATTCGTTTCTCGATAATGCTGCTAGAACGCTCTATCAGTTCTTCACTGATGCCGGGTTTGTTCTAGAACATCATCCAGTCAAGTTCCATTGTGTGCTGGGGTTTTTTTTTTTTTAATTCTACCTTTCCATGATCATTTTACACTTCAGACATTGTTAACATTCCTATTTTGATTTTTTTCTCTGTTTGGATTATTTATATATGCTATGACCAAAAGGATAAACGAAAAAATAATAAAACAATTTTTGATGAATATAATTTTCTGTCGGAATCTTTACTTGTTGGTCGCCTGGCTTTACTAGCCTTTCATCTCTAATAAGATAATTATAGAGAATATAAGTTACTTATCTATTATTTGGCCATGATTAATCACTTATCCTACTCAGGTGAGAAGGGGTTAGTTTGGCTATTTTTATAAAGCAGCAAAAAAGGTTAACAGATCTATTTATAGAAAGAAATATTTACAGAATTAATACTATGTACAATAAAAAGAACTAAAATACAAGGAAAAAGAGAGAATTTAAACATAATTACTATAAATAATTAAAGATAAATAGGAAGATATTTAAGATAATAAAAATAACAAAAAAGATACTTATTCTATATACAATAGTATGACATGCCACATCGAAACATCAAGAAGCGATAGTCAAGATATAAGAGATATAAGATGTAAGAGCACATGCACATGTTAAAATATGAATTAGTAATCTGCCACAGGGAACAAAAGAGAGTCGATTTTTTTTTTTCAAAGCTGCCTTAATCTTGGTTACAATGCATGCAATATTGTTTTCTCACTTGTAATTTTTTAATTATCTATTATTTTGTAAATATTTAATTGAATGTAATGTTACTCGGCCATGATATATTTATTTTGTATTTGTAATTTGTTCTAAAATGACATCAGCCCCAAGATAATGAAATTATTTTTCATTCTATTTACAACTGTACCCGACCACGCGTTGCTTTGTCTCATTCTGGTTAAATAAAAAAAGAAGTAGAAAATTAATCAGATGTTTCTAATAGTTTTTGTGTAAAAAATCTTCCATTCTTTGTATAGATATAGAGATTGTATAATTTTCCAACTCTAGAATTCGCAACACATAATTGTTTATATAAGAAGCAAACGGTCTGTAAATCTCCCAAGAAAAATTATTAAATGTTAAAACCATTATATCTCTATACTGAGTCGTCCAATTGTAGTGATTTTTTTCAGGGAATCAAGGAAGCTATCAAATTATTTTTTTTTTTAATTATTCGCAAATATAGTTTAGAACTCGTTGTAACTATTTTTTTCGTACTCTTTTCGGAAAAGGATGTTATATACATATATTAAATGGTGAAGACTTTAGCCAAGTTTAATTAAAATTGCTACAGCCGTTTAGGCGCTACAGTCTATAGCGAAATACGTTTTTAAGCCGCCTTTCCGAAACGAAAGACCTGAGGGTGATTAAATGTATATAAAGATAGTCCTGAATGCGACAGAAACATTATGTCAGTATTTCAAAGCAATCAGTGAAACTGTTTCGGAGATAAGGAACAAACGGCATTTAGGTTTTTATTAATATAGATTTATATAAACAGAACAAAATGTAATGAGTAAATAATTCCAGATAATATATTACCTCATTTCGACAGGTCTTCCTTCCCAGTCGTGTTTGAACATCATGTTGTTGTTCCAACCGTCACCGTGGTTGAGGCATTTGAAAGTGTTGTCATCGAAGTTTCCACCGTCTTTTGTCCTTTTCGAAAGCTCCTCGAAAGACACTCGGCTCAGTTTTTCTGCGTATTCAGCCCTGTAAAATATTTACATAAGAGACATTTAAAACAAGATGGGAATGGTTTGGTTAATTGAAGAGGTGGGATCTGAATTTTAAGTTTGCAAGAAAAAATCTAGTTACCTGGAGGTGTGTTTAGAAGAGAGCTATCTATATTTTAAAATATTTATTAAACCTTATGAGACCCTCCATAACGAAAGTAGAGCGAAGTTTATGGCACATAAGGGCAACGCATAGGAGGACTGCAAGCCGGACCATATGCAAGTAACGGAAGAAGAAGTGAGAACTGTTATGGGAAGGGCTAAAAGCGGAACATCTCCAGGACCTGGGGGCTTGTATATGGAACTTTTAAAGGCCGTCGGAGATAAGATGCTTACAATCGTTACCAATGTGACGAACATGGTTCTGAAGGGGTGTGATCTACCTGATGATCTCCGAACAGGATACCTCTGCTCCATCTTTAAAAAGGGAGATAGAAAGCAATGCCAGAATTATCGCGGCATCTGTGTACAGAGATCAGTAAGTAGGGAGACTTGTCCCGGATAAGATGGAAGGAGAGTACACCACACCGGTGGTACAAACTGGTTTCACAGCCGGGAGATCCTGTATGGACAATATTTTTGTATTCCGGCAGCTTATTGAGAAATGCAGGGCGAAGAATAGGGAGCTTCATTTAGCCTTCATTGATCTGGATCAGGCATATTATAGTGTTCCTAGAGAAAGAATATGACCAGCACTGAGAATAGCGGGTATTAATAAATCCACGGTACAAGCAATTCAACACTTGTATGAAAGCGATCTGTACAGAGTGAAGATTGGGAACCGCCTCTCGGAACCATTTTCTGGAACCAAAGGACTGAAGCAGGAGTGTTGTATTTCTCCAAGCATTTTCAAGGTATACTTGGATGAGGTAGTGAAACTATGGATGAGTTTACTCTGATGAGAAGATCCTTACCCTGTCCTTCACAGACAATCAGGTAGTGATGGCCCAGAAGAAAGTTTTCCTGGAGATGGTGGTTGTCCAATTAAAGAAAGTTTATGAACAGGCAGGTCTCAGGATAAACTTCCAAAAGACTGAGTATAAGGCACTGGGAGTTGAGGAAGACGATCTGCGAATAGGTGAACAGGTGTGCAGTAGACTAAAGGCATTTAAATACCTCGGGTCCAATCCTGACAATGTTGGAAGGTCCGAAGTGGATGTCCGAAACAAGGTAGAGATGGCAAGGAAAGCAACTAGAGTTCCGAATTCTGTTCTCTGGAACGACACTATTTCAAACACAAGTCATATCTTCACAGCTATTGTCAAATCCATATTAACCTACGGATGTGAGGCATGGTCGCTGAATGCTGGCTTGCTTACTGGATTTTGGGAGAAGGTATCTACAGTTAACGAGGCTGGACAGAGTCCGAAAAGAGTGGTGAGACAGATAATAGGTCTAGAGAAGACCGTCTCTGAGAGGATCGGGAAACGGCGATTGAGGTGGTTTGGGCACTGTAGGATAATTTCGGAAGAGCATTGGCCGAACAGAGTCCTGGAATGGCAGCCACCCGGAAAGCGTAGGCGAGGTCGACCCAGAACTACGAGGATGGAAGGAGCCCGAGAGGAAATGGCCGGCCGAGGTCAACAGGAGGGGGACATGGAGGATAGAGATGTGTGGAGCTCTGCTCTGACCTGAAGATGTATCCCACATTGGAACACCGGAAATAAGTAAATAAGTTTATTAGACCCAACTATTATTATAAGTGGGTGGGGTAGCCGAATGGGCTAACGCGTTGTGCACAGCACCACCGTTGCCTGGCAACCTGGTATATGACAATTGTGTTATAAAAATAGTCACGAGTTCGCGTTCCGGTGCCAAGGCGTGCCAAGGCCCACACTCCCTGGCCCGGGAAAACCCCGTATAGCCTTAACAGCGAGGAAGGGAGGACCCCAAAAAAAAAAATGACCTAACTATTATTGTTGAATAAAATCTTCGGTGACTGATCTAGATGGAAGTTGATCTATAAAAATAATAGACTGTTATAGATTAAAGAGAACGGATTTTTAAACCTGTGCATAGCACTGTTTGATTAAGAATGATTTTAACATACGGAATAAAGAATGAAGTTTTAATATTTCCGAAATAATTATCGACGACCGAACTATTGATAACTAACAAAAGGGGGCTTAAATTTCTTGTTTGCTATTTGAACAACAAAAGAAAAAAATAAGAAATGCTTTTGGCTATAATTGCTAATTGTTTACCATTCTTCTCCCCAGGATTTCCTCATTCCTTTGATTAGAGTTTGAAAGGGAGCGTAAAGCAAATTACGAATGCAGACTTCATCATTTAAAAAAATGTAAGGTTTGTAGCCATCTTTAGAAATTAGTCCTCTCTCTTCTAAGACTTTTGCCATCGCGTGATATCGCCCAAAACTTCTCAGTGCTAATCTTGCGTGATCTAGGTCCTGCGGTTCGGTGCGTTTGACAGTATTGAATCCTGAGGCCTGCAAAATATCTGTACTGAATTGAATTATATTTTATCGATTAATCTAATCGTATCTATTTCATACTAACCTTCAAATCTTCTAAGATTATAATTGAATCAGCCCGACTGTAATGAATGAATTCGCACCATAGAGGTCCTTCTGTATCTCCGAATTCCTCCATCAAATAGCCCATCTCTCTGAGGACGTTGGTGTAGACCTGTGGAAGCAAAGTGTATTAGTTATAAATCAAAATAGTTATTGCGAATCTGCCACAATCTAGGGCATTGAGTATTATAACTCTATGTTTACAAAAAAAAAAATAAAAAGGAAACATGTAAGTAAAATCATATAAATTAAAAAAAAAAAAGAAAAATAAATTGTAAAAAGAAAAAAAAATACATTGAAACAATATTTTTTTAAAATAGATTTCTTGTTTATTGATAAATATTACAATCGGTCTCAATTAAGGACACTTATAATATTCAGTGTATACTAAATACGGCATACACACTATACACTATAAAATACACTATAAAACTAAATACGGCAACGTTAATGAAAGCCGGGAAAGAACTAGGACTCGAAATAAACGTGGATAAAACAAAATATATGGTTAGCTGCAAAAATGGCGATACTACTGGTGACATCGATATAGATGGTAATATGTTTGAACAGGTAGATAAATTTAGGTATCTAGGTTCAACGATAACTAGAAAAAACGAAATTGAAGAAGAGATTAAGGTTAGACTGAAGGCCGGAAATGCTTGTTATTTTTCTGTGACAAAGCTACTTAGTTCGCGCCTCTTGTCCCGGAACTTAAAAATTAGAATCTATAAAACAATTATCTTGCCTACAGTTCTTTATGGATGCGAAACTTGGCCGCTTACATTAAGGGATGAGCAGCATCTTAAGGTTTTTGAAAATAAAGTATTGCGTAGAATATTCGGACCGAAGAAGGATGAGTTAACCGGAGAGTTCAGACGGTTACACAACGCCGAATTGCGTGAGCTGTATCCGGGTAATATAATTGATGTAATTTCATCGCGGCGAATCAAATGGGCTTGTAAAGTTGTTGGGCTTAGTAACGAGAGAATTCCTAAAAGGTTAATATTTGCTGTGCCGAATGGTAAGCGTCCGAGGGGTAGACCGAAGCGAAGGTGGGAAGATTGCATTAAAGCCGATCTGAAGGGACTGGGTTTGGACGGCGAACGGTGGAGGGAGGTGTGTAACAAGCGATTGGTGGTGTCGGCATCGAACCTTCGGGTTCACTAAGCCTTATTATTGTTATTGTTATTATAATATTCAGTGAGCAAATTCACACCATATTTACAAAATCAGAAAATAAATAAGGTAATTTCAAAATAATATACAGTGAAATAAGAACAAAATAAACATAAATAAATAAGAATCATAATGAGGGAATAGGGTGTTTAGGTGCTTTTTTTTTTTGGGGTCCTTCCCTTCCTCGCCGTTAAGGCTATACGGGATTTTCCCGGGCCAGGGGGTGTGAGCAGGAATTTAAAAAACTCCCCCGGCACCGAGACGCGAACTCTTGACTATTTTTATATCTTTGATTCATATGTCAGGTTGCCAGGCAACGGCGGTGCAGTGCACACGCTTTAGCCCATTCGGCCACCCCGCCCACCAAGGGTGTTTAGGTGCTGTAATCTTAAGACGAAATTCTACTGAGGCAACTTTTAGGCAACATGTAGCATGCGGCATTGACCACAGTCTTTCCATAGAAGGAACACAAAGGGATAAAAAAAAATATGTCTCCTTGCCGCATGCTACAAGTTGACCGTTGTTGCCTGTCGAATGCTTCATCTCTCCGCATGATTCAACGTATCGAACAGTGTCGGCGTCTATCCAGCGGGAAATATGTGGACGAACGAAAAAAATAACTCTTTTATTGACGATTACCATAATTCGACAGAATTATAAAATCGCCGAAAACAATAAGTAAAAAAAATATCGGATTCCGATATTTTTTTTACTTATAGAAAGTTGCCTCAGTAGAATTTCGTCTTAAGATTATAGCACCGAAACACCCTATGCCAATGGCTTCGGATTTATAAAAGTAGGAATACTTACCGATACCTCTGTGCGAAACAATGAGTTCTCTTTCCTCGGCTGTTCCGCAGCTTCTCCAGTGTATCCCTTCTTCGCAATGAAGGTCTTTGTAGCGATCCTCCCGTTCCCGAGGACTACTTTCAGAGTGATCTTGAGAATGGTCGAAGTAAAGTTTTCTCCTGTTGGCAATGCAGATTCAGACTTCATCTCGATTATTCGTTTTATTTTGGAATCTTGAGCAGATTTATTAAGAACGACCTCAAATATTTCTTTGTCCATTTCTGAAACAAGTTATTTAGATGTTAAAGTGCCTAATATGTGCTAATAAAGTACATTAAAAAATACATATACATTATGTTTTGGTGTTATTTTGTTATCTAATCATAAATAAAAATATATACATTAAGTTTAGACTAGCTGATGAGTCCGAATACTTGCAGGGGAACGACTTGCATTCAATAATATTTAAAATCTGCCACGGTTTTGTGGGCGGGGTGGCCGAATGGGCTAACGTGTGTGCACAGCACCGCCGTTGCCCGGCAAGCTGATCTATGAGATAATTGATTTAAAATAGTCACGAGTTCGCGTCCCGGTGTCGGGGGAGTATTTTAAATCCCAGCCAAACTCCCTGGCCCGGGAAATTCCTTTATAGCCTTAAAGGCGAGGAGGGGGAGTAGCAAAAAAAAAAAACAATATTTAAACCATTGAATTTCGTTAAACTTATAATTTAAATATTAGCTATTTTCTTCATTAAATTATCGTAAATTAATGCGCTAATTAATTATCATAACCAGATTCCATACTATTAAAAATCCGCTATGCACCATCCTTATCTACATTTGAAACCCTCTTATTCCAATTCCTCTCCACAATTCATTCAGATGCTGGCCAAGTTATGCAACAAGGTTTTAATTTTCTTCATTCATTATTTTTTTTACTTCTGTTTTTTACCTTAATGTTCCATATGTTTCCGATCTGGCCCAATCCAGATACCTTTCCTTCCATAACAAACTGCACAACCATCCGAATCCTCTCGTTTCAAACCTTGCTTCCTCCTCGATCCCTTATAACCCTCCGAGGCGTCTGAAAAGAAGATGGCCTCGGGATCTTCTAATATAGAACTTTAATTTGAGTTCTACCAATGGGTAGTTTCTCTTCATGTTGTACATGCCATGTTACAAATTTCTCATTTACTTATTGTATTCTCTGTGTAATACAGTTGTAAATTCCATTAAAATAATAAAAAAAAAAAAAAAACTTCTGTTTTGAGCAGGAAACAGAATTTCGATCACCTCTCACAGAGCAGTGCGGGTAGGTATATTTTTTTGTTGTTTTTGCTACCTTTTATTCTTTTCTATTCATAAGATTGATTTTTTTTAAAGTGTATTTTATTTTATTTAAAAGTATTTTATTTTTTACTTAACTTCTGAACTCTTCTCTCTATGTGTGTATGTATATATAAGATAAGGACAAGAGTCGGGCAGTATCAGCCTTAATACCACCCTAGAATGTAAACAAAGATGGATTACTTTACAAATAAAGCAGTATTGTTTCTGAAGTCGTGTAAGTTCTTTCTCAACCTCTTTCCTTTTTTTTTTATTGTTTCGTTTCACAGTCGCATAAGTGGTACTGAAACCCGGGACACTGTCAACAATCAGTGAGTAGTTTTCTATTTTTTTAGTTATCTATTTTTTTTCTCTTACTTCCTCAAGCAGTGAAATAGAGTTAAAATGGTGACAGACGGAATTCCTAACCCGGGAATATCAAATGCATCGGAAGGTCTTCAGATTCCTGAAATTCCGCAGATTCAAGAAATCCCTCAGCTATCAAAGGACAAATTGACTGAAGCACACGCCAACACTTTAGAACGGATGAATGTGTAATGAAAGTGCAGCGACCACTCAGAATTTAAGGTGGGCGATAGCGGACTTGGAACGCTTCGGTGGAGAGGTAGGTGAACTCAATCAATTTCGGAAAGGTGGTGACCGCCTCATTTCCAGAATAAGCATTGAAAGCAGCCCTGGTATGTAGATTACGGAGAAGTATCCTTAACCGGATACAGGCAGACGAAGAGACACCATGACCGGAGAGGCTGAAGAAGGCTTTTGGGAAAGGCAGGTGGACCCTGGAAGAAGACATTTTTCCAGCTGTTCAGAGAGCGCCGGTCGCAACGAAAGACGAGTTGGCAATATGTCGGAGTACTATTGGCAAAGCACAACCGCATCACGAAGAAGATGCACGAAATGATGAGTGCAGGCGAAGTAGAAGCCAGGATGGTGTTTCTGTCAACCATCCTTAAGGTTCAATTTGCCAAGGAAACTGGAAAGAGGAACGGCTCACCTAGAGAACGGCCGTTTCCAGAGTGTGCCCAAGAAGTGTGAGCGAGAGAGGAAGAAAATAGGATGGAGATAGAGGAAGCTGGATGGAGCCGAGTGAACGATAGACGCTTCAAGGCAGCACCGATAGGTTGGAGGAAAAAGGAACCTGGATACGGAAACAGAAGAAGAGCCATGACAGGAGAAACAAAACCAGGACCACCCAGACCACGAAATGGACCCCGAAGGGAAGAAAGGAAGTTTCATGACTGTGGAAGGGCGAGACACTTAGTGGCACAATGTCCCCGCACCAAATGTTTTGAATGCAGGACAGAAGGGCACATTGCAAGGCAATACCCGTACCTCTTCAGGAAGGAAACAGTACATGAGGAGCCGATGGAGGACAATATGCATAAGGTGAGGAGAAACCCTAACACGACTTGGAGAAGTGGGCCTTCAGAGGAGGTAACGGAGATATCAGAGGCCTCGGAGACGGAGGAGGAGGAACCAGAGAGCAGCGGAGACGAAGGAGGAAGGAGCACGCAGTGGGGAGCGGCAACAGGGAGGAGTAAGCAAGCGAGGATCTGAGAAGTGTGTCTGCAGAGCGGTGACCGCACAACGACATGTAATAATATATGAGGTAAGTCTTGCTGGTTGCCAATCATTACAATGCGAGGGGAAGTGAGGTGCTTAGTAGACACGGGAAGCACTAGCACTATTATGAACCGTGAAGCACTAGAGAGGCTGTGTGGTAGTGATAGGGCACCCCGGATTCAGGAGTGCGATTGTAAGCTAATCCCCGTGGGAGGGGCGTGTAACGTGGAAGGAGAAGCGGTCATTGCGATAAACCGTTGGCAAAGAAAAAGGGGAATTTGAACGTGCACATTGTAGGGAACATGAATCGGGAATGCTAAGCGATAAGAGGACCTATTCGGACAGGTAGGGATTAAAGTCAAGAACAGGAATGGGACTTGGAGTATTAAGTTAGGAGGACAGACGTAGAGAGGTAAAGAGGACACAAGTGGTACGAAAGCACGGATAGGAGCAGTAAATAGTGTCGAGGACTGGAGGAAATCCATAAAAGCGGAATTACAAGACATTTTCATCAAAGAGGGAGAAAGGACGGGGTTAGGCCGGAGAAAGTAGAGCCTATTAGGCGAATGGTGGTCCCGTGAGATGTTAAAGGAATCAGGAGAACTTCTCAGTACGCTTAATTATTATAGGAGATTCGTGCCTGGAATGGCGGAATATCTGGTTCCAATCAACAATCTACTAAAAAAAGGAGTTAAGATCATTGTAACACCGGTAATGGAACAGAGCATTAGAAAGTGTATAGACCGATTAGAAACAGAACCGGTACTACCGTTTTCGGACTTCAGTAAACAATTCACGGTTACCACCGATTATAGCGAGTATGCGCTGGGGGCAGTACTATCGCAGGGCGGAGTAGGAGAGGAACGTCCCGTAGCATACGCGAGTAGACGTCTTACAGATGCAGAAACACGTACAACGCTTTGGAGAGGGAGTTGCTCGCGATAGTGTGGGCCATCGATCATTTTAGGCCTTAAGTTTTAGGAAGAAAGTTCCGGGTCCACACCGATCACAGGCCCCTTCAATGGGAGAACTTAAAAAATTCTTCGCGAGGGTCGCGCGATTGAAGGAATTTCTAGGCCAATACAATATTGAAATAGTTTATAACCAGGGAAAGGAGAATGTAGTGGCAGATTGCCTATCTAGAGCCATAATGGTTAATGCAGTCGAAGAGGACAGCGGGGGACCAATGCATGTACACCAACTCTTAAGTGAATGGACACCTGAAAGAGTGTAGAAACGGTAGAATCAATAATGGACGAAGAACGACTCAAAGAAGTGACACTTGCGTATCACCAGGAGAAAACGAACCATCGGGGAGTGAACGAGACCTTACAGGCATTACCCAGAAAGTACTTTTGGTGGGGAATGAGGAAGACCATCCAGGAAACGATAGGGACGTGTGAGGTGTGTATGCGCACGAAATACGACAGGCACCCCCCCTCAGGGAAAACAGGAAGAGACACCCACCGGGGACGTACCATTACAAGATCTCCAGATCGACACCTTCACATGGAGAGGATATAAATGGGTCACCATAATTGGCATCTTTAGTAAACTCGCTATGGCTTATCAAATATTGAAGAAATCATCAGATGCAGTATTAGAGGCTTTACAAACATGGATGCAGTTTTACGCAGTACGCGAGAGATTCTCGTCCGATGGAGGAAGGGAGTTTGACAATGTCGCAATGAGGGAGGAGGCGAAACGATTGGCGATAAACTGGCACTTCAATACACCAGCACACCCCGAAAGCAGAGGTAGCATCGAGCGGCTGCATAGTACCTTGAGCGACCATATACGCGTGTATCAGGGAGAAAAAGGATTGGAGCCCGACAGTGCTATGAAAAAGGCGATAATAGCATATAACCATTTCCAGAAAAACATCTGGAAGGTCAAGCTAAAAAGTTTGAGGAGATACTATTAGAAAACAAAGCACTCAAATCCCGAGTGGGCGAATTGGAGGTTCGCTTGAATAACGCAGAGTAGACTATTGAGTAGATCACTGGAGATCCGCGGTATACCGGAGCGATCGGGCGAAACGCCCGCTGCTTTGGTGACCAGTATAGGAGCAAGCTTGGGGATCAGGCTTAGTGTGGAGGACCTGGACAACGTACATCGCCGCAGAAGCCGAAAAGATGACTCGCGACCACCGCCTGTTATCGCACGCTTTGTCAGGCAATCAATTAGAGATGATCTAATTACGAAAAGGAAAGTGAAGAGGGATTTCTCCACGCGGGATATCGGTTGGCAGGAAAATGACTGCCACCGAATTTATCTGGGTGAAGAGATGACTCGCACAAACAGACACCTCTATTGGCTAGCCAGGCAGAAGAGAGCGGCGGGAAAAATCAAATATACGTGGTTTGCTTCCG